TCTAGTAGCACATGGTCCTTGAGCTCGGCCTTCAAATTACAAGAGGTAGAGGTGAGGAGGAAGGGCATTCCAGTCATGGGAGATAGTCTATAAAAGCACAGAAGTGTGAGATGTGGTGCTATGCACAGTGAACAACAGGCCAGTCTACATGGAACTTGACGTGAGTGTATGAGTTCTGGGATGTTTATAAACATCCCTAGATGGCTAGAGTTGCCTCCAGATGTTAGCTAGGAGCTGAGGCTACCCCAAGAGAGCTGACCTCCAAGTTCGCAGATCATCAGCTGAGAGGCAATTTGGTACAATAGAAAGAGTCCTAACTCTGAGATCTAATACCACCTCTAGGATGGTCACCACCTGTGTGCCTAGACTTCAAGTTCTCAATCTGTAGAAGGAGAGGGTTGGATAGCTGGCCTCTGGGGTCCCTTCTTGCTCTAGCTCTGTGATTCTGTAGGTGAAGTCAAGTTCAAAATCAAATCAGACCCATGAATTAGTTTCTTAATTACTGCTACAGTAGTCATAATACAGCTCAAAAGGGAGTCCAACTTTGCAAGTAATAAAAACATTGAAACTATCACTTGCTGTAAAAAGTTTAGAAATTTTTTAAGTTATGTAATTCAATATAATATTTTTTTTTCTTTTGGAATACCTATTTTAAAGCATCACACATTACAAAGATGAAGCCAATTAGCTCAGCTGACAGTAGATAATATGAAGCCTTTGGTTGTGATTCCCTATTAACTGTGTACAGAGAAAAACTTTGCTTGGTGTCAAATTTTATCCTTAGTAGCAGTCAGTTATTGACCACTTATTGATCACAAGAGGCAGGAAAGGTGAAAATGTAATCAGTGCAGTACAACCCTAGTGTCACTGCTAGGAAAAAAACTTAAGCTATCTATCATACTGGTAGACTTGGCAAGGGAAGGCCTAGGGAAGATTCCAGGAGCATCTATCTTCATGTCCTAAGAGCATATTTTAAAATTACTTACAAATTCAACATAAATAGATGCAATCGCCTTTGGAATTTTGGATTAAAATAGACCAAGACTGTAATAATTCCCAGTAGGAAATGAAATTATTGATGGGGTATGCTATATTTCAAGCCATAATTATATTAATTAGCAGAATGAAACTTACATATACTTAGGTATGTCTCTTACTTAGCACCAGGAACTGCCTCCCTCCCCAGTACACCACATTGCCACTTGAGGATTTCCTTCCTTTCTTCCTTGCCCTTTCTATCTCTCTTTCCCCTTCACCAATGGAGACGTTGCTGCTACCAGAGAATCTTCCTCCTCACCTTAACCGGCCCATGTAGTTCTTAGTGTCATTTTGTGGGGAAGCTAGTTGGCAATAAGTCTGAAGTACTAGGGTGAGTTCTGGAAGGAGGGAGTGAGAAGAGGGAAAGGAAAACACACTAGCCCCTGTCTATCATTCAGTTTCTTTCCCCTTCCTAGAAGGAAAGTAAAAGCTCTTCATTGTTTGGAGGAAGAGGAGAATAAAAGCTTCTGCTCCATTGCTGATTGCTCTATTCTGGCAATTTTCTACTTTACTCTTTATCCCTAAGTACCTGCCATAGCTTCTTACACCAGAAGCCCACCCTTTCCTTCTCATTTTCATCCTTTTTCCCCCATCTCTTATCCTTCCCTTTCCTGGCATGCCACCTTTCCTCAAATCCCAGTCCACAGTCTCAAGTAGACTGGAGCCACGATCAGTGGCTTGGAGATACTGGAATTCTCACTTCTCTCCAGCAGATGGGAGATCATGTGGGAAATATACATAAATTGTGGCATCCTAAATATAATTCCATATTGAAATATTCCCAGTTAGGATCCATTAGTAAAGAACAGTAGGTATATTTTAAAATAGCATTTTATAAATGGGACTATAAATCTAATCATCAGATATAACATTATTTGGAGGAGAGAAGGGGCATTGAAAGTTTCAAATATTCAATTTATACTTGAATTTATGGAATGCATTAAGAGTAACCATATACAGAAAAGAGTTTCAAATATAGAGTGAGAAGAAATGGGTTCAAGTCAAAATTCTTACAGTGATTTTCTTTCTAACCCTAGACAAGTTTAGCTTCTCTAAATTTCTTCATCTATAGAATTGGTATAATTATACTGGCACCACTTAACATATAGGGTTATTGTGAGGAAAGGTCCCTTAAAAACCCTAAAGTTCTATATAATTGTTATTATCATTATTGATGTTTATTGGGAGTAGCTATATAAACAAATTTAGCTAGCCTAGTTAATCACTCAATTTTTGAATCCCAGAGATGTCATAGATTTTAAAATACCTGTGCTCATTTAACCCTGATTATTTTTCAAATCTCTCAATCTTGCATAGGAAAATCTTGTGTAGAAAAATCAATAATAAGCTGAAATATAGCAAATAGCTAAGTAATGCAACATTACCTTTTTTATTTGAGTGTATAATTTTAAGACCTCAAATCTTATAAAATTAATGATTTTAGGGTATTCTCTCTGGCCAGCCATGGTTTGCAGTGGTAGGGATAGGTTGAGATAGAGTAAAAGACAAATCCTCCACCTGTCAATGTGTCTTCCCACTCCTTATCTTCTGAGTCCTAAACTGTTCTTCACTATCTGGGGTAAAGAAAATTGTATCCTATTGCTTGCCAAAGAGGAAAAGGGGGAACAAAAGACATTCAAAGAATTTGGTTCCAAATTAAAAAATTTCAGAGCTAGAAAAAAAAACATTTAATCCAATCTTCTCATTTTACTGATGAGGAAACTGAGGCCCAGAGAGGTACAGTGACTTCTCCATGGTCACAGGGGATGTTAGGGGCAGAGTTTATGATATAGAAGAAACTGGAAATGAAAGTCAGGAGATCTGGGTTTGAATCAATATGGTACAACAGGAAGAGTGGGAGATTTGAAGTCAGAGAATCTGTTTGATTGCAAACTGCCACTTACATGCTGTGTGATTTTGGGAAAGTAACAAACCTTCACAGGCTTCAAATTTCCTCATCTGTTAAGTGAAGCCACTTCTCATCCTAAATCTATGAACCTATGAATCCAAGATCTTATATTTGCTTACAAAGTGACCTTAGGTTGTGTAAATGCTCATTTGTATTATGCAAATCTGAGGTATTGTTATTAAGTGCCTCTTCTGTGCAAGACAACCTGAGCAGTATAATTATTTTATTATCATTATTATCATTATTACTATTATTATATCAATAAATGTAATCTTTGAAAGTTTCAGTACATTTGTCCATATAAACCACATTATATTGAGAAGCTACATTCCTAAGCTATCCAACAAAAAAAATTTATTCCGTTCAAAACATATTTGAGTACTACATGATTTAAAAAGAAGATAAATTAATTGGCAATGACATGACATCATTGCAATTCTCTTCACAGTGTTTCAAAGTTTCAAAGGGAATCAGAAGCAAGGAAAAGATATATAAATCTTCAAGAGGGTGTATAAAATGCTACTGTTCAAAGCACTGAAAAATTCTTTCAATGAAGTGTTTCATATAATGTCAAATTTGGACACTCGCTTTGACATCTAAGCCATAATTTAAGAGAGAGAAATCAAGAATGGAATTATAAGCTTAGTCACTACCTGCTACTAGAATTGGTACTATTGTGTGAAGTAACAGAAATGGTGTCAAGGACAGAATAGTTCTCTAACCACACAACAAGAACCTTGCTCTCACACCTCCATGCCTTACTTAAGGGTTGTTCCCTGTGCTTTAAATGTACCCCCTAGCCATCTTTTCCTGTGAAGCTATCTGTTCTTTACTTAAATACCATATCCTCCAAGAAACCTTCTTATATCACCCCTTTTTGGGTGATGACTTCCCCCCTAACTCTTGGAAAAATACTTTGTTTTATAACTTTTTAATTCACTTATCATGTAACTGTGATTTGTAGCTATCTGTATTGTATCATTAGACTGTGATCTTCTTGAGCCCAAAGACAGTTTTGCATTTGTGAAGTTTTGTTTTGTCTTTTTTTTCCCCACCTTTACTTATATCCCCTGGGCTTAGCCCAGTGCCTAGCACACAGTAGACACTTAATAAATGCTCTTTGCCTTGCTTGACTGTCATGACTGTCATGACTCTAAGTCTGTGGGCTTGTTAAGAATGGGGATTGTGTCTTATCGAAAGTTTTCATCTTCCCCCTCTATACACAGTAGGTACTTAATGAATACTTGTTCATTGACTGATATGAGCATAAGCAATAATTTAAATGGTATCATTCAGCAAGCTTTTTATTCAAGTATTCCTTAACAATGTACTATTTTAGCTAGACATCGTGATAAAATGATTAGGCAAGTATAGTGATTCTTATCTCTTTATCATCACAATAATTTGGGCAATCCCCATGTTGAACACTATTTCCTCTCTGATTTCATACTGTGTTTTGCTGATATGGAAAAGATAAGCTGACAAACTAGTCATAGATTTAGTGAAAATTTAAGTGGGTTTTTACTGCATAAAGAGCTCTTGATATTTTAAAAGTTGGCATGTCTGTGGACACTGAAGTGTTATATTACCCTTTATGTTGCAGAAATTAGCACTGATTGGTAGTCTTTAAGGACTGAGGTTACATGATTGTTTTACCTCTTTGCTCATTGAATTAAATAGATATAATTAAGGGTATTAAGTTTAGCACACATATAGTATAGGATATATTTTCAAATGAATAAAATTATGTTTATGATAATGTGAAAAAATGATGAAGTGATTCCTTTTTCAATCAGCTTCATTCTTAAAACTTTCTCCACATTGGTCAGCATTGGAATAATAAATATTTATTTTTTGTAACTTTAAAACCTAAAGATATAACCTAAGTCCAAGGATTCAGATCAACTATACAGTTTGAGTTTAGTTCTCAGAGTCAAAGACTACTAGATGGCCAGAATCACGCGTATGTGATAATTCCAGGCTACTCTCTGTAAATAATACATGTCATTTCTGCTTCACCCTCACTGACTGCTCCAAATTACTTTCAATTCAGGGCCCAGCCTTCTCTCCCAGAGTGCACTTCAGCTCAATTCCAAACCTGAAGGGTCTTTCCAGTACTCAGCCAGCTACCATAGCAACCAGACCCTTGCCCTGGGTGAAACAACACCTTCCCAACTCCCAGCTCGAAGCAGTCAAGCCAGAGCTGCTATCCAGAGCTTCAGCCAGGTACGTGCCAGAGGAATGTTGTATACTTAGGTCTCACACACACACACACACACACACACACACACACACACACACACACAGACTACTCCAGCTATATTTTTGAGGAGGGTGGGGGTAGTTTGTTATATGTTTATGAATTTATATCCTTATCCTCATATGATTTTTTTCCTAATGGGGGGAATGGAAAGGAATAAGCATTTATATAGTGCCTACTATGTGCCTGGCACTGTGCTAAGTGCTTTATAAATGTTAACTCATTTGCAAAATATTATCTTTACAAATATTATATTTGATACCTTAAATAAATTAGTAAAGATGTTTCTGAATGTTGTAAGTTACTAAGGTCTATAATAATATGTGAATATAAAATGAACTGAATTACAGTTTTCAAAAATCTAATTCATGCTATCTACCTTAACGTATCAATTTAGAATATACTGTATTATAAGTATCATACATTTTTGTTTTTATTTATTCATGTTTATATGTTATACACACATAAACACATATATACAGCATATATGACAATATACACATGTTAATATACACAAGCCATCTTAAGGACAAATATAAGTGCATATTTGATTCCTTTTATTTTTGGATTTTCCACATCAATTTCTTTTCTATGGTGTTTTTTTTCTATGAAACTGTCACTGATTAATTGTTTGACTGTTGTGCTTCTAACTCCATTTTCCACTAAATCCTAGTGCTTTTATTTCATGGTTTTGTGTAGTGGGGTACTTTTTAGGAATTCATATGTCACATTATAGCAGAACTATATTTATATAGATATAGATAAATACACATTAAATATATGTATGTGAACATATATATTAAATGTGACTATATATATATGTCTGTGTGTTGTTGTTCAGTTGTTTCAGTCATGTCTGACTCTTCATAACCCTATTTGGAGTTTTCTTGGTGAAGACACTGGAATGGTTTGCCATTTCCTTCCCCAGGTCATTTTACAGATGAGGAAACTGAAACAAACATAGTTAAGTGACTTGCCCAGGGTCACACAACTAGTAAGTGTCTGAGGCCAGATCTGGACTCAGGAAGATGAGTCTTCCTGACTTCAGACCAGGCACTCTCTCCATTGTGACATCTAGCTACCCTTTATATGTGTTTGTATGTATGCACATATGCATCTGTGTATGCATATATCATATACATAAAAGCATACACACCTGTACATGCATGTATGTATGTATGTGTGTGTATGTGTGTGTGTGTGTATATATATACATATATATATATATATTACGCATGCATATATATTTAATGTGAAGCTCTACATTAAAAATAATTTATAGAATCTACCCAGGAAAAAAGAATCTGAAAGAAAAAGAAACATTCTTTTCCAAAGTCTGGCTTTTTATAAAACACATACATGGATGAATTTGTTTTGTTACATATAATTGAGAGGCTATCATAAATAGAAATTTGTAAATGAAATAATTGAAAAATTTGAAAACTATTTTTGCTAAAAGGAAAATTAAATCTTGTCCAAGCTGAATTTTTGCTATCAGGCATTGCTTTATGATTTGTGCAAAGTATGCTTTGGTTAAAATATATTTTGGAGTATTAAGCAAATGATCAACATATGTAATCATCTTAGAGTTAAATTGTTCAAACAAAATAGCTACTATTAAAACTAGTTGTTAGTGTGATGCATTGACTACTAATGTAGGTATTTTTTTTAAAGACATGGGTTATGAAAAGATGTTACTAATGTAGTTTTACATTCCATTTTCCCACGCTAATACTACATCAATTTAAAAAACCTACAAAAATTTAAGTAGTTATCTGATTTTATGCAAATTTGCTAGGACCTTTAAGTGAAAGAATATGAATATGCAAAAGAAGACCAGCGACTGAAGAAAGTCCCTGCTACTCACTAAGTGCTACTTCTGTGACTATGAGAAAGTCTCTTAACCTTTCTGGGTCACATTTTCTTCATATAATGAAGGAATTCAAATGGAAATTCTTTGCAGTACCTTCAACTCTAAATGCTATGATTTTGTTTTTCATTTAATATCACCCTCTTCCACTTGATTTATTTTTTCTTCAAAACATTACATGTTTTATTGCAATACATTTTCCCTTCCTTCTTTTCCCTCTGTATGAGTGATTGAAAGTGTAATCGTAAAATTTTATATACTCAGTAAGTAGGTTTTTTCCCCTTGAGCTCCAAATTATTATTCTTCTAAATTCAGTTGCTAATATAAACTAATTTGCATCATTTATTTTAGCAATCTGAGTATTTTCACTTATGGTCTCCTGTGCCTAGAACCCTCTCCCTCTTAATATTGGCCTCTTGGTCTCTTTGGCCAACATCAAGTTTAACCTAAAGGGCCGATGCTTTCAAGAAACCTTTCCCAATTTCCTTTAGTATTCATGATTTCCCTCTGTTGATTATCTTCGTATGTGTGTATACACTCATACATATACATACATATGTATATATACATACATACACACATATGTGTATATATACATTTGGAGATAATCAAAATAGGGAAAGCATGAAATATTAAATTAAAACAAATAAATTTTAAATTAAAATTAAATATATAATATGCATGTAGATGTATGTATAAGTGTGTATATTTGTGTGTACATGTATATGTGCACACATGTATGTGTGGGCATAGAAATATATCTCTTGATTATCCTAAACGTGTGTGTGTGTGTGTGTGTGTGTGTGTGTGTATCCCTATGACTAACATGGTAATAAGCCTATCTTCATTTAGAAAAGGAAGTACTTAGAAAATAAACATGTTTTCCAAACCTGTCCTCAAAAACCTTTCCAGCTTGGTAGAAACATTCACATATGCCACTTCCCTGGCATAATCTTCAAGAACCCAGGGAGGCATTTATTTCAGGGTATGTTTGTTTGTTTTTCAATGAAGGGGAAAAAGAAGTAAGGGGTGTGTGAGAGAAAATAGATTTTTATAAATTGAATTAAACTCCATAAAACTAATTAGATGAGATATTGGTCTAAGGCTTTGCAGGAGAATCATAAGGATTTTTCAAGAAGAAATTATAACAGTAGAATTTCATATAATTTATGCTCATATTTGCTGTTGTTTCATTGTGTAAAGTTTAGGATAGTCAGTAGACTCTAACATGACAAAGAGAGCTATCATTTTCCTTCTTGAATATCTTTTGATTAAAAGGCAAAAGCTTTAGATAGAGAGAGCTTTTCTTTATGGACATCTTCAAAAATACTATTGACCATCTAAAGTAGCCCATTATTTCTTCCTGAATTTCCCTGAAAACATCTTTTTTTCTTTTTTTCCATTTATTTTTTAACCAGGTGGGTTATTTCATGGATTTAGGGAGCCCTCTCTAGGAAGCCTTGTCTAATAGCGCACATCAGCATTTGCTCTGTACCTTAGAGTTGTAAAGACCCAGAGGGACACAAAGTCATGTCACTTACCCAGAGTCACCCAATCTGTGTGTGCCAGAGACAGGTCTTGAACCCAGGTTTATTGGACTTTAAAGCCAGTTGCCCAGTGATTGTGCCATGCCACTTCTCTCCACTTACATTTGTTTTTCTTTGTGTGTACATGTGTGTGTGTGTGTGTGTTGTTGTTGTTGTTGTTGTTGTTTTTAAAAGAAGCAAGTGAACAGTTGGACAACTTAATTTTCTAGTTTACTGGACCATTATTCTGACCTAATAAGAACCTAGGACTTCAGTTATTTTTTTTTATGTTTAAATTCAAAGGGCACAATTCCACAAACATTTTTCTAACTGTAGACTATATGGAAGGCATACCAGAGACCTATACCAGTATAGACCTAGCATAGGAAAACTAAAAATAAAAACTGCCCCTGCAAAATTTACTGTGTGGAAATAAGGCTCTAGTTTTACAAGCACCCTAAGACATGCAGAAAATCAAATAAAAATATGACTTCCTAACTATTTTTCTTTTCTTGTTCATTTGTTTGTTTTTATTTTTAGGCAATTGGGGTTAAGTGACTTGCCCAGGGTCACACAGCTAGTAAGTGTCAAATGTTTGATCTGATGCCAGATTTGAACTCAGGTCCTCCTGACTTCAGGGCCAGTGTTCTATCCATTGTACCACCTAGCTGCCCCAATATATATTTTTTTGTTTTTGTTTTTGTTTTTGTTTTTTGGTGAGGCAATTGGGGTTAAGTGACTTGCCCAGAGTCACACTGCTAGTACGTGTCAAGTGTCTGAGGCTGGATTTGAACTCAGGTCCTCCTGACTCCAAGTCTGGAGTTTTATCCACTGCGCCATCTAGCTCTAACTATTTTTCAAATGTGTATTTTCATTTACACAGGGCCATTGTCCTTATGACACCAAAGAAACCAATAAACTGATTTTTTATTCTTTTTTTAATGTTCATCTCACTGATAAGATCAGTCAAACCTATTTTATGGGTAATATGGAAATAGTCAATAGAAAAATAAAAAAAAAACTAAGTTCATTTTAAACTCATTGTTTTGTCAGCCTATAGACTCAACCATTATAGAAAATCATCACACCATTACAACAGTCGATGTACATCTTCCCTGTGATAATGAGACATTTTTCAGATATCAGTAATATGAATGAAACATTCACAGTTTTATTAATAACAATGAGAATGTTTGAAGATGTAACCATTTCAGAAGAAAATCTCCCTAGCCTTATTGATAATGTTTCAGGAAAACGTACACTCATCTAGAGTGAGTTTACAGACAGAAAATCAAAATGAGATCTTTCATAAGATTGTATTATAAAAGCCACGCTGGTGTTAGTGGCATGTGATGGACCCTCACTAATTCTAGATAGAATTAAGTGAAATAGAAATTCAAAATGATATTTTGAATGTTCACTTTAATTTTATTGTTTTGTTTGTATTTATTTTTGTCAGTTTTCTTGATACCTGTTGTTTGTCTAGCCCTGCAATTTTGTTTTTATCCTTCTTCTTCCCTAATGTCTTCTCTTGTAACAAAGAAAAGAGAAACAGCTAAGCAAAACTAAT